TCTTAGTGCAGCATTAGAACATCATTATTAGGTCTGGCTGTGAGCCCACGGTGACTCAGCCTCTCTGTCTTGTTTGCTGCCCTGCAACAGCCCAAATCAAGTAGAAGCCCATAGAGGCTTGAGCTGCTGGACCTCAGTGCTGGAGGATCTCTGTGGAGCAGGCAGCTGAGCGGCCACCAGGAGCCTCAGGTGTGTTTTTGTAGGAGCATTTTCTAGTTGGAAGCAGCAGAGTTGTGTGCAGGAGGGCTGGGGGAGCGGGTTGATCTCCTTTGCTGTGCCTTTAGGTCATGTCTTGTACGGTTAGGTGAGGGGTGATGGAATGAGCAGGAGGCACATGAGTGTCAAGAGCGCAGTGCTTTGTGGGGAGGCAGGGGCTGGCCTGGGAGTCGATGTCCCTGGGGCATTACACTGCAAAGGGCTCTCTGCTAACTGCTGGTGTTTCCTTTTCAAACCAAAGAGCAGTTGTGGCCAAAGCCTCTCGGGAGTAAAACGTGTTTCTGCTCTGTGCCTGTGCTGCACTTCATCTCTGACCTTTCTTTCAAGCCACTTTCAGGCTTCTTCACGCGGCCTCCGCTTGGCCTCTTGCATCCCTCACACCCAGGAGGGTTGCTGTGCTGGAGCTGGTGTTGCGTCAGCCCTGTGGCAAGTGCTCGTGCCTGGCTTCAAGGCCTGGTTGCCAGACCCCCTGAGGATGCTCTGTAGGGCTGGGTAGTGGATGGTCCCTCCTGAAGGGTGGTTCTCTTCAGGCAGCCTGAGTGTAGGATGCTGCTGAGGAAGCAGCAGGGAGGGTTAGGCTGGGCAGAGGTGATGTGGATGTCGTCCAGGAAATAAATCCTGCTCTCTAGGGCTGCTGTTCCTGTGGCTTCCTGGGTCCAGGAAGAAGGTAATCTGTGACCTGGGCTTTTTTTTCTGGTCTTCACTTCCCCTTACCCTAAATACAGGATGCCTTTAGCTGTGTCTCAGCCCCGTCCGCTCCACAGCTATTTTGCTTATACTTTTAAAAGACCTTCTCAGCTCCTTTTCCCTTGGTTCAGTTCTTCAATTGTAAACAGTGTTTTGGTTTTCATCCCTTTTTCCATTTTGATTGTGAGGTCTCTTCCTTCATTCCCACCCCGCCTCAGCCCCAAATTCCTCTCCAAGGCTGAGGCTGGATCCAGGTGATGGTGAGGTCAGGTGTTTGGGACCTGAATCTTGCTGGAATCCACTGGGTGCTTCTGGTCCTTCCCCACACGAGGCCATCCATCTGGCTGGGCATGGGCAGTGCCTGTGGCCTGGCAGTTTGGCTCAGTCACATCTTGTCCATGGTACAGCTGCCTCTGGTGAGCAAGTCTAAGCCAGGACCAGGAGCCAGAACAGAGTTGTAGGAAATGGGCACTGGGGGTGAGAGCAGGCATTTCCATGGTGTGTCCCTTTGCCAGCTCTTCAAGGCTGGGGATTAAGTCAGTGAAGGACTGTCAGACGTTCCAGGGGAGAAGTCTGGGGTGGGCTTGGACTGCTCAGTTAGTTCCCCTGGGAGTGCCTGTGGAGCATCTGTGTGCATCAAGCAGGTGGCTGAGCTGAGTTAGCTGTGGCATGGACACCCCTGGGACCGTGGGCATGCCCAGGTGGCCCTGCCAGCGTTACAGCAAGCAGATGCCATCCCTGTGATCGGGGTGGGAAGATGTGCACACTCTGGTCTTGGGGCCCACCTGCTGGAGTGGGGGACGAAGGGGAGGGTGTCCTCTGACAGAGTTTTGGGACCATCTCTGGGTGCTCAAGCCAGCCCTTGCAGGAGGGAGAGCAGGGTGGAGAGCACTTTCTGCACTTCCTTTGGGTATTTGCCATTAAGTCCAGGCTGCAGCCATAGCCTGGCTATTAATAATAGGCAAAACCCCTTGTTTTGGAGAATACTCCAGAGTCTGACTCTCTCTGTTGGGTAGTGAGAAGAACCTGCAGGAAGGTTCCTGCACAGGCAGGCGAAATGCCAACATGCAATAAGGGCAGGCCAAGGTTTGAGGCTGGCAGTTCCCCCTGGGCCAGGTGAGCACGGCTTCTGCCCAGCTGCCAGGCCTCCTCCACTGCCCTGCTGCTTTCTGGACGTGAAGATGCTGCTCTCACAGCGTGCCTGGGATGCTCACTGAGGGGAGCAGGACCACAGGTGGGAGCTGGACCGTGGGCTTGTCTCTGAATGCCTCCGAGCCGTGGATCTGAGGGACTTCATGGCCAGCGAGGTTCTCAGGCTCCTCCTAATCTTTACTCATGACTCCGGCAGAGTTCCCAGGGCTGGGGGAAGTTGCAGCCAAGGTTGATGAGGTTTGTGTGGCTTGCAGTGCCTTTAACACTGCTCTCCGTGTGTTTCTGAGATGATACTCCATGTATGTGTGTATATATATTGTATTAACACATCCCGCTCTTCTGTGTGAGTGTCAAATGGTTTTGCTTTACTAATAAATTTATAGTTATTTATACCTTCCTGTGGGTGTGTAAGATTTCTGGAGTGGAGGCCATGTGCCAGGTACCACCTCCCCGTCTGTCTTTGTGCTCTGTCTGGCTCTGCTTGATTTTTTTTTTTTTTTTTAAATTTTTTTCATGTTTTCTCTCTTTTCCCTGAACTTTTTTGAGGAAGAAATGACGGTTCATCTTCTTCATAACCAAAAGTCAAGATGCAGGATATGGGCAGGCTCCCAGGCAAGCAGAGTCCGCAGTTGCCCCTTGGTAGAGGTGGAGTGTTCCCTCCCCAGGGTAAAACTCCTCCCCAGGAGCCTCTGGACAGAAACAGGCAGGAGTCTCGGTCTGCCAGAAAGGAACAACTGCTCAAGAGCCAAAAGCTGATGCCTGTTGTGCTCTGAGCTCCTCAGCCCTACACACACAGCTGTTTGAGCTCTCCCAAAGGTTTGTTTTGCACCCCCCAATCCTGTGATCACAAGAGAGGAGCCTGCTACCTGCAGACAGCATAACTTGCTCCATCCCACACCCTGGCCAGGTGAGATGTGTGTTTGTCCCCAGGTCACTGAAAAAAAGTGCTTCTATGCCACTGTTTCCTTGGCTGTGAATCAAAAGCTGCAGAAGTGCTGGGGCCAGGCAGGACTGGGAGCTCTGCCCAAAGACAGGAGCTGGGGCTGGATGTCGAGCAGAGGAGCCTTGCTGGTACCTGCCTTCCAGGGCGTGACTGAGATTAGGGGCAGTGAGAAAGGCTGGCAGCTGAGCAGTGCTGGAGGTAAACGGATCAAGCAGCAATTGGCAGGCTCAGCAAGGGGAGGCTTAGCTCAACCCAGCAGATTTGCTGCCTCCTGCTTTGGTTCCTCTGGGGCTGGGGCAGAGCTGTGGGTGGAGCACCCTCAGCGCATCGCCCTCATCACACCACCTTGTGTCACCCCTCGGGGTTTCATCAGCTCCACTGCTGCTCATCTGCACGTTCCTGCACCCCCCTGCGCCCGGCCGAGGCGACTGCCTGCCCTGCAGCACTGCCGGTGAGTGCCTGGGATAGCTTTGGAGGCTCCAGGGATTTCGAGGATGCTCGAACCTGCTTCATTTTGGGGTTTTTCTTTGCAGTATCCTGCACCGAAACCAGGCTGGCTGCTGGGAGCCGGGGCGCTCGGGACAGCTGGGTGCCTGTAATCCCATTTGCAGGCAGCGCAGGGCTAATCCCCTGCAGAGCCCTGAGCGGATTGAGGTGGGTTTGGGGGGTCAGTGGTGAGCTGCAGTGGCCAAGGGAGCCCGCGCATCCCGGCGTGGCTTCCCGGGGAGGTGGCGGTGAGTTTTCGGAGGTAAGTGGCAGCCATCGAGGCGAGGGACGTGGCTGGGGTTTTTGCAGGACCACCTTTGCACATCACAGGGGGGGTTGGTGCTCCGAAACAGAGCTGGAGGATGAGCCATGCCGGGGTAGCGAGCAGGTCCATGGGGAGTGATGTTGCAAGGGCAGTGGAGCTGGGTAATATGGAGGGTTTGATGGGCTGCTGGAGGGGAGGGAAAGGCCACGGTGCTCCCTGCTCCAAATGGCAACACTAGGCCTGCACCCCATTTGCTGCTGGAGATAAGACTAAGACCCTTAGCTCGCTGGCACAAGCCCTGTGGAGCTGCCACAACAGGTGGTGGCACTGGTAGGTACCCTCAGAGCAGGGGGATGCATAAGAGTGCCTGTTCTTCCATGCCACTGCAGGCAAATCCTGGCTACTTATTCCTATTTCTTCCAGCAGCTAGTTTTTTGGGGACCCACAGATGTTTCTGCCCCTTTCTTGTTCAGATGTGCCAGAGGAATGGCCTCTGCCCTCCATTTTCCTTCCCAGACCAAGGACAGGCTAATGCTCTAGGCTTTTACAGCTTCACAAGCTTATGTCGAGGGAGGAGGAAATCTTGACTGTCAGGGGGGCTCGCTGCAGCCCTGGGGGTCTTTCTTTGGAATTGTTTGGGCTCGGTGCTGTACACTGACCCTGCACTTCCTTGGGATCTGTGCCAAAGCATGGAAATGCCTCTGCTGTGCGGGGCTGCCAGGTTTTCCTTCCTGCTCCTGGGGCATTCGCAGCTCCTTAATCCTTTATAACCAGCGGGTGGTAAAAGGCAATTTAGTTGATTTCTGGTTGTCTGGACTCTTGGGAGGTGTTTTACAGCCACGCTGTCCAGTTTTGGGGGTGTGGGGTTCGCTGGGAGAGCTGACCCTGTCTGTGGTGCACTGGGGGCTTGAAGTGCTGCTTCAGCTGCATCCAAACCCGGCTCCTCAGCTTCTCAAGGTTGGGCGAGCAAAAGGCTGAGGACACAAATCATCCACCCTTGGCCTGTTTAGATTCAAGCAGCCAGGCTTTGGACAGCCCCCCATGAGCCATGCTGAGGGAACTGAAGGCGTCCTGCACCACTAAAGGCTGCATTAATGCAAAGAGCCCAGTGCTGAGCTGCTGCCAGCCTGTACCTGCTGCGTGTGGGACTGGGGTCATGTGTGTACCTGGGATTGAAACCCCCATGCTGTGTCCCAGCTGGGCTGGAAGGAGCTCAGGGATCTGCTTTCTTTTGCCCTTTGCAGGCATCATCTGCGAGCAGCAGCACAGGGACTGCCCAAGGTGCTCCTGGGCCCCTCATTGAGCAGTGTGGGGTGTCCTTGGAGGGGCATTTTGGGCAGAGCACTGCTCTTTGGAAGGGCATCGTCAGAAGACACTCCCAGGTTGAGCAGTGCCACGTTTCCCAAGCAGGACACCGAAACGGAAGGACACCAAGGATCTTTTTGGGCTGCTCTGGAGACAGAGTGAGCAGCTGGTGCACCTGGCATTTCCTGGGGGGTGTGCGCCCCTGCTGCTGGCCTCTTGTAGGCTGGAGACCCCTCCTCACTGCCCGCAGGCAGCGGGATGATGGGCTGGATCAACCGGGTGGTTCCCCAGCCCCCGGTGCCCCCGGTGACGGATGAGACCCCGCAGGCCCCCGGGCAGGAGCTGGAGCCAGTTAAGGTGAGCAAGGAGCCAATCTGGGAGGTAATGGGGACGCTGTGACCTATGTGGGAGAAATGCCTGTGCCTCTACATCCATCCCTGGCACTTTGGCACCCAGGGGTGCTCCGCAGCATCCCCAAGAGGGATGGGGGCCAGGATGCTTCCCTGCTCTGAGCTGCTGGGAAGCAGCAGGAAGGATGGGGAGTCCCTGGGGTTTGCAGCCACCTTTGAGTGGGGACACTGTCCACTGTGCCTCACTCTCTGACACCTTTTGCCCTTTACCCTGAAGGCACCAACAGGAAAAGCCGGCGGCCCCACGGATGCTGCTGACAGGGCACGCACTGAGGGTAAGCCCCACACGGGCTCAGGCCACGGGTCGTGTTCCTTTACCAACTGACCCCCCTCCTGCCCAGTGTGCTGGGGGCTGCCAGAGTGGTGATAGGAGCTTGCCTTTGTGTTTTTTTTTTCCCTGCTGCCACTGAAGAACTAGTGAAGAAAGTAGAATTTGTGGTCCCTGAGGACACAGGTTCTATGCTTGAGAGGTATGGCTCTTGCACCCTCCAGTGTGCAACACGGTTTGCTTGGGATTTTGCTTTTTGCTGGGTGCTGGCTGCCTGGAATGGTGTTCCCAGCCTGACTCTCTCCCTTCCCTGGCAGCATGGGGAGCAATGTGCGCTTCTGGCTCTCTTATGGGCTAAGGAGGGTGATTCCCCAGCCAGTCCCAGTCCCAGTGCCAGCCCAAGCGACAGTGCAGGTGCTCACGAAGAGCTTCGATACAAGCATTGACGTTCCTAATGAGGTAGGAGACAGATCTGGGTGACGGTCTGGTGTGTTGGGGCTTCTACATCTTTTTTTCCTTCCTATCGCTCTCCCAGTGCTAACTGGGACCACTAAATGTGCCCTGCATGGTTTTCTGCCTTCATCCACCCCTGGGGAAAGGGCAGATTTCCCTCCCCACCCAAGAGGGTGAGCCCCACCTTAGCTGTCGGGTGGGTGACAGTCTGTTTGGCTTTTCAGACAGAGGTCCAGACCCTTCCAGATGAGGACGACGGTCTTGGTAAGGAGAGCTGGCAGCTTGTAGTTTGCAGCACCCTGGGGCCCTCTCTGGGACTCCCACACCCCACCTCCCTGACTGGTGATGCTGGCATGACTGTCCCCTTGAACTGGCTGATGGAGGGACCTGAAGCTCCCAGCAGTGCATGTCCCCCATGCCCACAGCAACGCTCTCCTTGCAGAAATAATCCCCTTCGATCCAGAGGAGGACAACTTCGAGGAAGAATTGGATGCCCCCGAAGAGGAGTGGTGGGTCCCCAGCGAGGCTGGTGGGGGGGCTGGGGGAGGACAGGAGGGCACGGGATGATCTCCCTGAGCATGGCACTCTCCCCACAGGGTAGGAAAGCGGGTGCTCAGCTGGCTGTCACAGGGCTTTGAGAGGATTGTGCCGCAGCCAGAGGGGATGAAAAATCTGGAGGTGAGCACTGCCTGGCTCGGGGAGACCGGGGGACCAAGGGGCAGAGGTTGACAGCAGGGTGGGCTCCCTGCCTTTATCCTCCTGCACACCCCAGTGGGACCTCGGGGAGGAAAACCCCAAGGGAATTCAGCAGAGCAAAAGAGGGACCTTGGGGTGCTGTCCCCGTGTTCCCAACCTGGCTGCATGCAGGGGGGACCTTTCAGTTGGGACCCACTGGTGGCAACAACACTGGGTTTAGTGGTTGTTGTCGGGGAAATGGGGCTGACACTGCAGCAGAGGATGTGTGGGGCTGTGAGAGGGTGGGTTTCCTTGGGGTGAGGGATAGGCCTACATGGGGTGGTGTGAGGCTGCAGGCAGTGCTTTGCCACATCCATCTGTCCCTCTGTCTCCCTGCAGACAGAGCAGAAGGATCAGAAGTGCGAAGCCACAGTGGAAGGTGAGCGATCTAATCCCCCTTCCCTGGGTGGCCCTTTCAGAGGAGACCCTGTGCCTCTGAGAACCCAGCTGTGGGCAGGCACAGGGGCTGCCCTTCATCTCTGTGCCCAGGATTCCCACTGTGCTGAGAGGGGTGGGCAGAGGGGTCCTGGCATCACAGCACCGCCCCTACATCACTGCTGTCCCCAAACTGCCCATGTCCTCAACCCAGGCTGGGTCCCCAGGGGAGAGGCTGCCAGGGAGGTACCCCAGGCCTGCTCCTCTGTAGGAGGTGACCCTTCTTTTCTTGCTCTGCTTCCCAAAAATTTATGACTGCTGCATTGCCTATCCCCCTTCTTCTTCCGAAAAAAACCTGAGCAGGCACAAAAAGGACTCAAACGAAGGCAAAGCCAAAACCCAGCCTTTCAGCTGCCCTGAGCACCTCAGTGGCAGAGACACCAGCAGATGACACGGGGCAGCCAGAGCCAGTGACCACCCTCACAACTCAGTCCATGGCTCTGGATGGCCTCAGGTAACCACAGGGCAATTTCTGCCTGGGGCAAATTCTGGCTGATGTGGGAGGGTTGGCTGATGTGGGAGCAAAAGCTCTGGCTGCCAGTTCTAACACTGGTTTCTTGTCACCAGGATGTTCATCTGGTTTGTCCAGAAGCTGGAGAAGGTGCTGCCACAGCCAGTGACCACGGGGAAGCAGGACACACAGGTATGCTGTCTGCTGGATGGGCAAAGGGCACAGGAACACCATGTCCCTGGTGGGAGGGTGTCCCCTGCAATGCAGAAGCTACTAGATCAGTGCTGGGACCTGGTGTGGTTTGGGCTGTCACCCAGCTCCTTCAAGAAAGCAAATCCCCACGACCTGCTCAGCTGATGAAAAACAGGATTTGGCTTCTAAGCAGCATGAGAGCCTGCAGCATGTTTTCTTTACCATTTCCTTGCCTTTCTGGGTGGTGTCCAGGCCTGGCATCTCACCCAAGTGCATTCCCAGTTCTAAGGATAAGCAGCAGCAGCAGCTTTATATGCTCTTCTTTCCTGCCCTTGCTCCCAGGCGAGCTCACTGATGTGCTCCTGCCCCGTATTATCATGTGTGCCCACAGCCAAGCCACCCAACTTGGCACGAGAAATCACACGGGGTATTTAGGGTAATAGGGCCACCTTTCCTGAAAATGGGGTATTTAGGGTAGAAATTTAGGGTTACTGACAATGGACAGTATCTCATGTTTCCCTTTTCCCCCTGGCAGGGAGTGGCCGCAGCAACCTCGAATCCCGCGGAACAAAGTAAGTGGCGTCTCCCTCTCACCGTGACAGTTTGATTGCTGAGCTTGTCAGAAAGGTTATTGGGAAGAGGGGTCATCTTTTATCCCCTGACCTGCCCTGGGTGCCAGCCTGGGAGCCCTTGGAATCCCCTGGGAAAGCCATGGGAGGCTGTTGACACTTGGGAAGCGGGAGCGGCTGTGGAGTTGTGGCGGTGACTTGGTAAAACTCAGGGTTTATGGGAATTTTTAAGTGCAGCATCCCACCATCCTCGGGTCCCAGTTTTTGAGGTTAGTGCTGCTCTCAAGATCTGTCCTCGAGCTGTGCTGGAGGATGTTTGCTGAGATGGTGGGTTTTGATCAAAGGGAATTCAAACCTGCCGCCTTCTTTCCCTATCCCCCACTTTGGCATGCTTGCTGCTAAGCTGGAAGGTGTTTGCCAAGCCTGCTGTGAGTTATCCAGGAAAACAAAATCCTGGGATTAGGTGTGTTAGGTATGAGTCTGCATGGTTGTGGGGAAACCTGTGGGGTTCACAGTGCTTCTTGCCTGCCTGTGGAGGGGGATCAAGCACCGGCTCTGCAGGCAGTCGGGCTTGGCTCCCCCCACCAGCCACGCTGGGGGATACTGGACCAAATGGCAGAGCCACTCTGGATGCCTCTCTGGATGGACTGAGCAGGGTGACACAGCCCCATGCAAGTGCTGTCCCTGGGAAGGAGTCACTGGTTGGGCTGTGGGAGCTACTGACGGGAGCAGGGAACCTCTGAGGCACAGGGAAGCTGCACATCCCCCAGGAACACGCCAAGAGGTTGCTCCTGCTGAGCCAACAGCAGCTTGGCAGAACTTCAGAGAGTGAAATCCTGGGGAAAGGCATTTCTCACGTGTTTGTACCAGACTGGAGACCTGTGCACTGCCATGGACCTCTGAAAGAGGCAAAGCCAGGGGTGCGCTGGGCAGGCACAGCCTTAGTGCACAGCTGGCTTTGGTGCCTTGGGGCACCTCCAGGTCACTAAATTGGGTTGAACAAGAGATCTGCCCTGGCCCCAAACTGCCAGCACGCTCATTAATGTTTTCCTTCTCCTTTTGTTTCAGGGGGCAAAGGGGCTTAGCGCCTCTGAAACAAACGGAAAACGAAGACCATGGCAAATCAGCCCTTCCCACACCCAAATGAGACCAGCCCGAGGAGAAAGCGCAGCTTGGGGAGGAAAAGCAAAGGGGAATTTGCAAATAGTCTCTAGCTCCTTCCCAGCTGGGGCAGTGGGGACCCAAGCCTGGCACGGAGATGCCAGCTGCATGTCCCAAGTCCCAGGGCTGTCCCACTTGGCTCCCTCTTTTCTCTGGGAGTTGGAGCTATTAGTTTTTCAGGACAGTGTCCATGAGATGGGAGCTACAATTGATAGGATGGTAGAAAAACATCACTCAGGACACCTCGGTGGCAGAAAGCCTCTTGCTGCAGACTCTCAGCACTCCTGGCCTTCTCAATGCCCCCCTAAAATCTGAATATTCAATCTGAGACCTCCAGCTGAAACCCACAGGTTTCTTTGAGTCGACTTCTGCCTCCGAGGTGTAATGTTATAAAGCTCTTGAAGCTCTTGTCAGCTCCTCATTTGCTTTTCTTCCACTAACTGTTTTCTTCTAGCAAGTGGAAAGGGCTCCGGTTTGCAGCAGCAAATCAGATGGGTGAGGTTAATCTCTAGGTGAATAGGTAGGACTTAATCGTTCAAAACCTTTGCCCAGACCTTCCACTAGAACAGGTTCTCAGAGCCCCTTCCAATCTGCTCTTAAACGCTTCCAGGGGTGGGGAATCCACAGCTTCTCCGGGCAAGCTGTGCCAGGGCCTCACTGCCCTCACTGTACATTTCTCCCTTATGAATATCCCCTCTTTCAGTTTGTTGCCCCTTGTCCTGTCACTGACTTTGGTAAAAAGTCTTCCTCCATCTCTTGTGTAAGCCCCCTGATGACAGGCTGGGTTAAGATCTCCCACCATCTCGTTGCAACTCTTTAGGCCCATCTAGGCAACCAAAATGATGAGTCGTGAGCCAAGAGACCACCCTGAGATCCACCCCCTGCTTGTACCAGGCCACAGTTTTTAGTGTTTGCCCCATTTTCATATAATGTATCCAAAAGCCATGGTGTGCTTTAAAAAGCCACCTCCCTGCTCGCTGTCCCTTGTTTTAATTAACAGGGTGGGTGATTAATTAGGGTGGGTGATTACACCACGAGTACAACCGTGCCTGGGTTTCCTGCCTTTCCGTAGTTGAATTTGCACGTTTCCCATCGGCTTCACTGTGTGGACATGTAAGTTTTGTTGTCAGGCAGACATCAAAAATAAACTGATTTTGCAGTAAGCGGATGTGCTTCCTCCTCCTGTTTCTCTGGTGTGTGCCTGACGTGGCAGGATGGGTACCCTTGGGACACAGAGGGGGCTCATCGTGGGTCAGGCGTGCACTCCTCACCCTGCAGCTGCTCAACAGCTCCCGCACTAACCCACCAGGGTTTTTTTTTTTCCCCCAGTGATGCTGGGCAGTGGCAGCGTGCGTGGGGTGCTCCCTACACCGTGGCCAGGGGAGTGTTTGGAGCAGACACACTGCGGTGCTTGGGTTGGGTTTTGCTCTGCAGATCCGGGGCCCTTGGGCTGTGCCAGGGCGGCGCTTTGCTGGGACTTCACAAAGGGAGAGGCTTTGGGCTGCTCCTGACTGCAAGGAGAGGCAAAATGTGGCCTGGAAATGGGCCAGATCGCTGCTGGTGGAGGTGGCTACACGTGCAGGGAAGCCAGCAGTCATCTGTGCGCAGAGGGTTATAGCTTTCACAGAACCACAGGATGGTTGGGGGTTGGAAGGGACCTTAAACTCATCCAGTGTTAACCCCCCTGCTATGGGCAGGGTCACTTTCCACAAGACCAGGTTGCTCAAGGGTTTCACAGGGCTTTGGCTGTGCTTGGCACAAAATGGTGAATTTTCTTTTTCCTCCTGGCAAAGGGCCCAAGGCATCTGTCCAGCACAGCTTGGGGTCACCGGAGCTGCCCAAATCCGTGCAGGCTGAGAGCTGCTTCAGCGTGGCAGTGCCAAGCAGATGAAACATAGGACTGCCCTGGCCTGACATCTGACCCCTCGAGAACGTGCTCTCACACTCTCACTTCATCACCTCCCTTTCCCCATTCCAATTTCAGTTCATACACCCACCGGGGAACCCGAGGAGACCCACCTCATCCTGGAAGAGATCACTGATGAGCAGATTAATGAAGAAATGTGTGAGATGATGGCCTGGAGTCACAAGGCTGAGCCAGAGGCAGATGTTCGCTCCCTTCCCCCCATACAGGAGGAACCTTATGAAGAAGAAGAAAACAGGTAGGAGAAGGAAGATGCTGTTGGTGGGCAGGTCCACACGTTCTCCAGTCACCAGTGTGGTGGTCATGGGAGGGGACAAGCACGTCCCCGGGCACCCCTCCTTGCCAGCACTGGTGATGGAGCTGGCAACTGAGGCGCCAAAGAGCAGGGCATCCACCAGAGGAATCCAAAAGGTGTTTCCCCAAATGTCCTTTGCTTCTGGTGTTGAGATCTGCGTTGGGGCAGGCGGTGGCAGAGCCATCAGTGCAATGCTCACAGTGCCCTGCAAAGGACAGCTGAAGCACATCCTCTTCCCACGCAGCAAGGGGAATCTGAAAGCTCAAGGACTCCGGTTTTGGGTTTCCAAACTTTTTCCCGCTCTCCCTCCCACCTGCTTGGAAGCTGTAGATACTAATGGGATGTGAAACAGTGTATCCCCAGCATGCCCAGCATAGGGCCCAGCCCGGAGGTTGGCTGGGGGATGGAGGGAGAGCATCTCTGGCCAAGGGGGTTGGGGACACTGGCAGGGCTCCTCATGTGAGGTTCAGACATACTTTGTGGATTTTACTTAATGAGTTTCTCCTTCCCAGACCGTATTTGAGCTCCCTAAGCACTGCCAAGGAGGAAGAGGGGGAGGAAAAGAAGGAGGAGGAGGAAGAGAAGAAGAAATGGGAGGAGGAAGAGAAGGGGCAAGAGGAAGAGAAGAGGGAGGAGGAGAAGGTGGTGGAGGAAGAGAAGGAGGAGGAAGAAAAGAAATGGGAGAAGGAAGAGAAGGAGCAGGAGGAAGGGAAGAAGGAGGAGGAAGAGAAGAGGGAGGAGAAGGTGGAGGAAGAGAAGAGGGAGGAAGAGGAGAAGAAGGTGGAGGAAGAAGACCAGAAGGAGGATGAAGAGAAGAAGGAGGAGGAGAAGGTGGAGGAGGAGGAGGAGAAGAAGGTGGAGGAGCAAGAGAAGAAAGTGAAGGAAGAGAAGGAGGAGGAAGAAAAGAAGGAGGACGAAGAGAACAAGGTGGTGGAGGAGGAGAAGATGGAAGAAGAGAAGAAGATGGAAGAAGAGAAGAATGAGGAGGAAGAGAAGAAGGAGGAGAAGGACAAGGTGGAGGAGAAGAAGGTGGAGGAGAAGGAGGGGGAGAAGACGGAGGAGGAGGAGAAGAAGGTGGAGGAAGAGAAGGAGGAGAAGAAGGTGAAAGAGGAAGAGAAGAAGGAGGAGGGGAAGGTGGAAGAGGAGGAGAAGAAGGTGAAAGAGGAAGAGAAGAAGGAGGAGGAGAAGAAGGAGGAAGAGGAGGAGAAGAAGGAGGAGGGAGAGAAGGAGGAGGAGAAAGTGGAGGAGGAGAAGAAGGAGGAGGAAAAGAAGAAGGAGGGGAAGAAGGTGGAGGACAAGAAGAAGGAGAAGAAGAAGGAGAAGAAAAAGAAGAAAGAGGGGGAGAACAGGAAAGAGGAGAAGAGGAAAGAGGAAAAGAGGAAAGAGGAGGAGAAGACGACGACGGAGGAGGAGAGTGCAGAGTGAGTGTCTCCCGTTGCCTTTGTGGCTTTGTCGGAAACGAAGGTGAACGCAGCTGTTGTTTCAACCGCGTTCACAAAGCCGGGAGAGGCTGAAAACACCCATGGACGAGCGAGCTCCTCCTGGCAGAGCGGAGCTCCCAGCCTGGCAGGCAGCTGTGGCGTGCTGGGGAGGGGACGCGTGCGGGAGGGATGGTTAGAAGGGAGGGATGGCTAGAAGGGAGGGATGCTTCTGCAAACCGGCTCATCCCAGGGCTCGCTGCTGACGCAGCACCTGGTGACGGGCGAGAGTCTCCTGGTGACATGGGCTCCATCTCCACCGCGGCCGCCCGTAGCAACCGCGGCCCCCGGCCATCCCCCCGCGGGTCCGGCGAGCCGCGGCTTGAGCCTTCAGCGGGAGGAAGGAGCGCCCAGCTCCGGGAGACGGTCCCTGCTATTTAAAAGCACATCCATTAATTCAGGGCAGTCGGAATTGTTATGAGTGCTACAGAGCTGAATGTAAAGAGGGGATTATGTGTTCTGCCTGGAAATACTGCTTAATACAAGTAGGTACATTTTTGCTTTTTTTTTTTTTTTTTTTTTCCTGTTGTAGAAAATAGCCGAGTTCTTGTCAGCTGTGCCAGGTAGTGACTTTGGTCTAGATGGTGTTGAGAGACATCTTTCTGCTTAGTTTAGTAGTTTGCTCGGATTTCACATGAGATAAAACATTTAGGGATTTGATAGCTGGTGCTACAATATTATTCTCTGTTAATTCCTCTAAAATAGCTAGATTTTCAGGAAGAAGCTGAAAATGCACGATTATTAACTATCAAACCCATATGTTTGTATTGCATCAAAATCTGTTCCTGGAGCTTCACTATAGTTGTGGGGTGAATGAGATGATGCTTCATCTTTCAGTGTGTTTGTTTATTGGGAAACGAGAGAGAGACCAACAGGTTTTCTAGATTAGGATGGAGGGACTTACAATCGTGTTTGAAGGGAGCATAACTAAAATAAAAAAAGGGGGAATTTTTAAATATTTAAATATTTTTTAAAATTTTTAAATATTTAAATATTTTTTTAAAATATCTTGGAAAATATTTTTTTTAAATATCTTGTAAAAATATTTTTTTAAATATCTTGGAAAAATATTTTTTTAAATATCTTGGAAAAATAACAGGATTTGGAAGCATGGAGGTAAAAGAAAAAGAGCAACCACTGCTTGTGACATACCTCTTCTGACGTTGCACCTGCCAAGGATACAGAAAGATGGTCTCTCGAATTTCAGGCATTTTGCTCTCTTAAAATTTTTCTCATTATCACCAATCCCTGCTTTGCATTTCTTTCCAGGAAAGAGCAAATCAGGAGATGAGTGCAAAGAGCAACATGTGGAGTGCTTATTTTCAGTTTTAAAGTTACATTAGAACAGTAAATTCGATCTTGTGAGCCTCTTTTTTGTCAGAATGGTGGAGCTGAGGTCTGCACTCGGTGCTGAAAAAGAAAATGAGAATTACGTGTCCTGGTAGTGCCTTGCACAGGCAAACGTGGGATTTGGATGGTGCTTTTGGGAAAGCCCTGCCTGGAAATTAGGCTCTGGGCTTTTTATTTGGCAGATTTTAATTATATGAGAAACGATGATGCACAGGAGGAGAAACATGCTGCTTGTATCTTTCTGCCTCTGCAATTTTTGCTCGTGCACATGCAGTGCCCTGCTTTATTTGTGCACCTCTCACCTGGTTCTCCTACGCAGTATTTTCTCTCTCCCTCGCAGATCCCTGCTCTCTTCTCTCACGGCGGACAAGGCTGTGGATGAAGCCCACTTTGGCGAGGAGGCCCTCAGGTTTGAGCAGCACGAAGTAGCTGAGATAAGTAATCTCGAAGGTGCTCTTGTACAGGTATGGCATCGCTCCCTGCTTGGGCTCAGGTCTGCAATGAGCTCTTGCTGTCCAGTGAGTACCAGGGGCTCGGAGCTTGTCCAGAGATACGCAGTGCCCTGGGAGGAGCAGGAACTGGGTGGGGGGGGGGGCACTGGACGTGTTTCCCACCGAGACGTCCCCACCCCCGAAGCTGAGCCAGCAGCAGTAGCTGTGGATGGAGGGGGGGGCTGTTTCACCCTACAAAGTTGGCACTGAACAAGGAGCTGAGAGTCTGGCAAACCGGGGCGATAACGGGGAATCCAGTCAAGCTGCAAAATCTGCTCTTTTTCCTCACAGAGTAGGGCTTTTTCTGCTTAAAACGGCTTTTTTCATTTTGAAGGTGGAAGAGAAGACAGCTGAAGCTGCTGAAACCAATGCTGAAGGTATAACATGTAGCAGTACAACACCAAATGGGGATGAATCAAAGCAAGGCGATGCGGTGCCTGATGGGAGGAGAATCCAGCTTCTCCTTCCCCGCTGATGGGGAGCAGGCAGCTGAGTTCTCTGCAGCATGGGCCTGCATGGGCAGCTGGGGCTTTTCACTGGGGTAAAGCATCCCATGGGCACAGCATCCCGTGGGTGCGGCATGGTGGCAACACTGGCATCGGCTGGAGCCAGCTCTGAACGGCTGGTGCTTGTGCAGCGCTGAGTCCTGTCGATTAAGCGATCCCTGATGTGAAATTAAGAGTTTCTCCTTCAGCTGGAGAACGTTAACAGGGATAAAAAAGGATTTTCTCTGCCACTTTGCTCGATTTGGAAAATAACAGGTGGCATAAAGCGCGTTTTAATGGAGCCTTTTAGGAAGCAACGGGTTGCTAATGCAAATAAGGTGGTGAACTCCCATCACAGCCTGAGTGAGCAAAGGCAGGTCCTGGCATAACTGCACTGATGTCGGAGGGCTGCACAGGGAATGGCTTGCCCTGAGTCTTGCTGCAGGCTGATGCAGCCCATGCAGGGCAGCAATGCTAGAAAATGCTAGTTCATCAGGAACTACAGCGATAGGACAAGGAGTAAAGGGTAAAAATTGAAGGAGGGGAAATTTAGGTTAGATCAAAGGAAGAAATTCTTTACAGTGAGGGTGACGAGACGGTGGAACAGAGAGGTGGTGGATGGCAGTGTTCAAGGCCAGGTTGGGTAAGGCTTTGAGCAGCCCAGTCTAGCGGGAGGTGTCGCTGCCCGTGGCAGGGGAGGGTGGGACTAGATGACCTTCAGGGTCCCTTCCAACCCTTAACATTCTGTGATTCTGCGAGAAGGGCGTCGTAGAACGGCCACCACTGCAGTCCCGTGCTGCCGACACCCGCGTTGCCGCCGCGACGCGCAAACCGCTCAAACCACACTCTGTGTTCTGTTGCAGCTTCAGATGCCTTGTACTTTGCTTGAAGCACCTAGGCTCCCAGCAGCATGGCCAGGCGGGCCCGGGACATCGAGCTAGACCGGCTGGTGCATGACAGGCCGCTCGGTGGCGGGGAGCCCTGCCCTGCCAGCCGCGGGGCCCTAGAGCAGCTGCCCAATGTCCCCAGCTACCGAGCCACCGCTGCCCCCCGCGCCCCCGCCCCCAGCAGGACCAAGGCTGGAGTTGTCAACCCCAATTTTTGCAATGAGGAGCAATCCCCTCTAGGTATTAGAGAATGTTGGCTTTGACGGCGGGCTTGCTTAGAGATGGGTGGTGGTGGGGGGGGGTGTGTGACTCCTGGAGTAGTCGCGCGCTTTTTTTTGTCGCTTTCGGAGGGAAAAAAAAAATATTAAATAAAAATAAAAGCACGCTTCACGTTGCAGCACAGAGGCTGGGGAGCAAAATCCACGTGTTTTCTGCTTCTGCTTCATCACTATGTGCCTTATTAGCTAACTCTACCGAGCGTTTGCAAGTGCTGCGTGTTTTGACCCGCTCAGTCAAAAGCTCTCCCGAAGGACCTGCAGGCAGAGGGTGCAATATCACCACACACACCCTTTTCTCTCTAGCATTCATGCAACCTGCTCACACTACGAGGACAGGAAGGTGGAGGCTTGCTGTTCATGGCTTTCTGCCTTTTCTGCAGCTTTGCTTTGCTTTGTTTTTAACCAGCAAGCCAAATTTTGCTGCTTTTCCTTACGTGCAACAGGATTTTAACTTTGCAGCCTGAACAGCCCTTTTCTTGGGGATTTAATCAAGCCACGTTCTGATCCACTAGTTCCACACCTGCAGGAAACAGGATGGGGTTCATAGGGTCTTTCAGATGTGTGAAAACCTCCCAAGGAAGAAATCCACCAGGAACTGATTGTATTTTGTTAAATAGCTAAGAAAAGAGATGACACTTCACAACCAAGCCAACTGTGGGGCACGGCCAAGGCAACCCCCAGCACCATTTTTCCTTTGGACGGCTGGCATCTTTCTTTACCCACTATAAACATCCAACCCTCCTGCCTGTGGCAGGAAGCAGTTATTATTACCTCTGCAAAAGAGAGAAGCCATAAATGTCTATTTAAATAGTGCCTTATTCTGCATGAAAATCAAGTGCTGTGCGATTTGGAGCTGTCATGATGCATATGTTTATGTTCAGAAGACCCAAGAGAATTTCTAGACCCTGGGAGGCAAGTTTGCACCTGGAAATCCTGGATCCCTGCATAACACCTGCAGCTGGGAATCCTAATCTCCATTGTTTCCTGAACCACGGGAACCCGACCCTCAGATGGAGTAAATGAAATCACTGCAATCTGGGCATGCAGAAGGGAAGCAGGTGGCTGCTCTTAGTGTTAAAAACTGGGCAAAAAAAAAAAAAAAAAAAGAGAAAGAAATGCCTCAAACAGTTAAGAGAAAGGAGTGCCAGGTGAGAAGGGAATGGAGGGAGAAGGAGAGTCCTCCCAGCAAGCTGCAAGGTCTGGGGGCAACATTGTGGCAGCGATGGGGTTTGGGGAGCCATCCTGGCTCCAGGCGGGGCCTTGCACCCCCCTCACCTGCAATTATTGTCCTTCCCCGCGGAGCAGGTAATTACCCCACCGTGGAGATCAAGGATGTGGACAGCGATGCTGCAGAGAACGATGGTACCCACTTACCAGTGCCCGCTGCCAGTGCTCCCAACAGGCTGGCAGTGCCTGTCGCAGCATCCCCCAGGTATGGCTCTGCTTTCCCCAGGGGTCTCCCCCCCTTGATGGTACCAGCACAGGAAAATTTCTGTAACCATATGGAGCAGCCCATTTCCAGCAGGTTTGGACAGTGAGCCAGGGTGTTGTGCGTGGGGTGGGAGCCACCCCCGTGCACGGCAGAGGAGAGGGCAAAGGCTTTGCCTGTTGTTTGCATTTTTTAATTCAAAGGTTAAATTTTGTTTAAAGCTTTTGGGGGCCAGGGACAGCCCTGTCTGTGTGTCCTCCTGGAGGTGGGCTCGATCCCCAGGCCGTGCATTGGATCCCATTTGTCTCTTGTCCCACTTTGTGCTCCCAAATTCAGAGCGTGGGGAGTCTGTGTACTGGATCTGGGCCTTCATCATAAGCCCAACAATTTTCTTGTATTTTTGCTGGAAGGGTTTGCAGCATCTCCCCCTGGGTTTGTGCTTCCAGTTGGATGGTAGATGCCCCACTGCTTGAAGTGTTCAAGGCCAGGTTGGATAGGGCTCTGAGCGACCTGGTCTAGTGGAAGGTGTCCCTGCCTGTCGCAAGGGATTGGACTTTTAAGGTCCCTTCCAACCCAAAGCATTCAGTGATTCTAAGCTCAGAGGGATTAAAACTGAGCTTTAAAATTTAGGCTGGAGGGAGCTGATTTTTTTGTCTGTTGTTAGGGTGACTTTCTTTTGAAGTCCATTCTTGCAGAGGATTAAAAATCAAAACCAAAGTGGTTTTCTTCTGTGCTGAAAACCAGGTGCTATAGTCATTCTCACTTAACAGTTTGGATCTTTTAAGAAACAAGCTCCTGGAGAACCAAATAAAATGGTGAAAATGTCCATAATCCAGCCTGCTGAACAGCTTTTAAAACTGAGAAAGAGGAGCCCATGGCTTCATGTAAAATCCCTGCAGTGCAAATACTGACAGCATTGAGAATATTTGCAGTTACACATGTGAGCATATAAACCTTTCTGCTGTGCCTCCAGGGACTGTCTCAAAACAACACTGGAGGTCCCTTGGTAGAGCTGGAGATTTTTAAAGGCGAGCAACTCCTGTTCTCCTACACACACACAAAAAAAAAAAAAATTTAATCATTCTGAACCTGAGGAAAAATGCTCCTCTCCTGCTGGTGTTTCCAGAGTAAGAGGACATCAGTTCTTCATTGAGCAGTCACCAAGTTATCCCTAAGTCACTTCCACTGGCCACAGTCTCGAGTTATTTCCTGCAGGGCTCTGTGAAGGATTAGAGTGAACGTGGTCATAAAAGACTCACCGCTAACGGGCCACACGTTGTGTAACTGGAGCCTCAAAACAGGCTCTTGCAGGCAATAAATACCAGGATATTCCAGCTGATCCCATATGGGCAGGGACCCTGCGTGTCCCACATGTCCAGGCAGGTGCAGGACAGCTGGATGCTGGTGGCCTCTGGCTGCAGCATTCCAAGGGCCACAGAAACAGAGGGATATTGAGGCTGTGACGGGGAATTCTGTCCCAGCTGGCTGTGCAGGGGATGATTGTGCGTGGGGATGATGCTGCAGGGTCCCCCTCACAGAGCAAGAGCCCGTCAGAGTGGGCATCTTGGGCTTGCTCAGGGATGAGGATGGGCCAGTGGGGCTGCATGGTGCCCTGAGGGGACAGGGGCAGGGGAAGGGGAGCTGGAGGCTGGTGAGAGGTGATGGATGTTGTCCTAACAACAATACAGACCCTGGTAGGGCTATTTCTCCAGACTGATGGTTTTGGAAACCTCTCTACTGACATATGACATATCTGCTTGCCCACATGTAAGGAAGTCGTCTCAGAAACCCATCTGTGCCAGGGGGAGCCACCAGCTGTGTTAGGACACATCTTCCAGGTCTTCCTGGTACTGCACTTTCCTTGCCTGCCTCTCGGAGCGCAGTGATGTGACAGCGCAGCACTGGGGACGAGCACAGAGTAGTGCCTGCCCTCCATGCATCTTGTGTCCAAAACAGGTTACAAAGTGGGCTGGGTGGCTGTAGTACCTGTGGAGCCCAGGAAGAAAGAGGGCTTTAGCAGCAAAGGAACAGGGTGGTTTGCTCCAGGCAACGCCAAAAGTTAGGGGAAAACTGACTCTCGTAGGAGGAGGGGAAGTGGAAAGCAGATGACCCCTGGGAGGAGGAGGAGGAGGGAGAAGAGCTGGCTGAGGATGGGGGACAAGCCGACCCTCGGTCGCTGTGTTTGTGCCTGCAGGAGGAAGCGACTGGTCCCAGAGGATGGTCTGGAGGAGGGACTGGTGAGCCAGTCCCCCACCCGAGCGCTGGGCTGGGATGAGGAGCAGAGGGAAAGGTGCGTGGTGGGACCCGGGGGGCTCCGGATCAGCCGAGCTCCCAGGGGTTTGGATCCTGGAGCTTGGGTGAAAATAACAAAGATGCTACAAGTGCTGGGATGCCAAAGGGAGAGGGAGCCTTGCCCACAGTGGGTCTGGTGCTGCTTAACAAGGAAAGCCCCCCCCTCCAAAAATAATGATCCCGACGCTCGCTGGAGCAGAAACTGCTCTCTTGTTTTTTCTGTGTACGTGTAGAAATATTCTTTTTAAGACTGGATGTAACTGCAGAGAAAATGCACCTTTGATCTACATATGCCCCATAGCACTGTGAGGACACCTTGTTATTACTGGTTGTGGAGAAATGACCTTTTCCTTCCATGTAGGAAGTGAGCACAAGCTGTGCATCACACACATCCCAGGCCCTGGCTTCCCCACAGCCTTGGAGGGAGCTGCCCTCCCTGGGAGAAACACTCACAGGGAGGGTCTGCAACTCCACATGGAGCACAGGTTTGCCTTCTTCCAGTCATCACAGCAAACCAGCCAGGGCTACAGCAAACAAGGTTGTTTCTGTCCTCCCTCCTACTGATGCTTCTCAGTCATGCTAAGTGGAGCATCCTGGTCTAAATCCAACCTGCTTCTAATGAAGAGGCTGAAAAGAGAAGATATAGTTTATAAATTCTGGGGCTTGATGCACATTTTCACCCCATAGTTCTTCCAAAATCATATTATCCCAAGCACATGCAATCCAGCCTGGGATCCTGGTGCTTCCCAAGCCTTCTGACAGCATCTCACATTCCAGGGAACAGATGAGGCTCAGATTGGTGCTGCTTGATGATATTTTACTGAAACCACCTTGGCTTGTGTTCTTCTCCTTACACAATACCCAATCAAATACAGGTAAATCCTAATTCAGGTCCTGGGGGTAAAGAATGGGTCATGGTCATGGTTCAAGACCAGGACGAACAGGGCTTGGAGAAACCTGGTCTAGTGGATGGATGGTGTCCCTGCCCGTGGCAGAGGGGTTGGAATGAGATGAGCTTTAAGGTCACTCCCAAGCCAAACCATTCCAGGATTCCGTGATTCTGTGAACCTGCCCTGGTGCTTTCCCACCTGCATGAAATGCCCGACGGTTTGCCCACAGCCTGCCTGAGCGCATCGGCTCGGCCACGAGCCTGAGCAGTGCCATCATCAACACCCGGCTCCAGGAGCTGGTGAAGCTCTTCAAAGAGAGGACGGAGAAGGTGAAAGAGAAGCTGATTGACCCCGATGTCACCTCGGACGACGAGAGCCCCACGGCATGTGAGTTCCAGCGGGGCCGGGGGCGTTTTGCTGGTGGGTCCCCACGCACCCACCGCGTTTTCTGGGAGACAGATGTTTTATTTGCTGTTTAAAGACCTTAGAACAAATTGCAGTAAGAAGATTTTTCTGCTCTTTAAACTAACTGTGTGGCCTCTCCCAGCGCCCGCTAAGCCGGCACCTGCGGCAGCACCGGTGCCTCCCCCGGGAGGGGAGGTGGAGGGGGACAAGCCCTCAGGGGATGACCACTACTGTGAGATGCTGTGCTGCACCTTCAAGTGCCAGCCCTGGATGGACCGCCTGAAAAGCTACCGGTTCCCCAGCAGCATCGACCCCCTCACCAGTGAGTGATGGAGCACGGCCTCGTGCCTGGGCTGGGGGCAAGCTGGTGGGACCAGGGGAGAGGGGGTGAGCAGGGGAGGAGGTGCAGGAGAGGAGGTCTTATAGAGAGGAGACCTCATAGAGAGGAGAGGAGAACTAAGCAAGAAGCAACTTAGCTTTCACTAAAGCCTGGAGTTTTATATTTCCCTGCAAGGCGTAGGCTTTCCTAAATATCTCCCTATAGCTGTGCATGTCAGGAGCACAGCTGGGCAGGGAAGGGACAGCCACCTTCTGCTTTCAGGCTTTTTAGTAGGAAAACGCTGTCCCTGTGGTGTGGATAGTCCAAATAAAAATAAAAGTCACAAAAGAAATATCCACTGCCTGGTGGTCACTCCACAGCAGCCCAGCTCTTTCCTTAGTCTCTGCTATTCCCCATCCCTTTGGAAGCGCCTGAGCTCAGGCCATCATTTCAGCATGGCTGCAGGGGGAAAAGCAAAACAGGGAAAGTCTGTGTTGTGGGAGCAAAGCAAAAGCAAAACTAGTTGACTGAGCAAAGCTGGAAGCTTCCCAATAAAACACGGTGTGCTCTGTGACTGGTGCTGTTCACTCTGCGCTGGGGCCCAGCTCACCTGCAACTAAATGCTGCCACCAAGAGACCTCCTGCAGGGTTCCACAGTGTGGTCAGGGCATGAAAACCCTGAGATGCCTGCCCAGCTGACCGTGGTGCTGTTCCCTGTATGCAGATCTGATGTACGTGCTGTGGCTGTTCTTCGTTGTCATGGCCTGGAACTGGAACTGCTGGTTGATCCCCGTCCGCTGGGCTTTCCCCTACCAGACGCCAGCAAACATCCACTGCTGGCTGCTGGTGGACTACCTCTGCGACCTCATCTACCTGCTGGACATCCTGGTGTTCCAGACCCGGCTGCAGTTCGTCCAGGGCGGAGACATCATAGTGAGTGGCAGCACGGTGCATCCCACCACGGCGGGGACCCATCCCCGTCACCCCAAACAACAGGGGCGGTGCTGGCCCCAGACCTCTGAGTCGAGCTGCAATCAATCAGGATTTTCATGTTCAATTAAATAAGGTGTGAAAAACCAAACCTCGAGGGTACAGCCTTCCCACGGCCATGCAGATGCTCAGACAGGCAGGTTTCTCCTGTAAACTCTGATTTATGTGAGGTCGGCACTGTGATGTGCTTTCTCTGGGATGCAAAACAAGCTCAGGATGTCCCAGGCTAGGATGGGAAGATGGCATTGCTTGTCTTGCTCTGCTCCCATCCCTGGAAATAAAGGGAAAATCTTCCATTTAATAGTGCAGAAAAGGAAAATCAGACATGAGCATGTTGGCCATGATTTTGCTGTCTGTAAACAATGATCAATATCTCTCTCTCTCTCTTTCTCTCTCTCTCTTTCTCTCCTTCCTGTTCCCATCCAGACTGATAAAAAGGCCATGAAAGAGAACTACCTGCGATCACAACGTTTTAAGGTTTGCCATAATTTTATTTATTAATCTGAATCTGCCCCGTGGTTTGCAGCCCCATCCCAGTGCACCTGCAGGTCCCCCCAGAGGCTTCTTTCTCTCTTTGTGTGGATTTCAGATGGATGTGCTGTGCCTTCTGCCCCTGGATTTCTTCTACTTCAAAATTGGCGTCAACCCCCTCCTGCGCTTTCCTCGCTGCCTAAAGGTGAGCTGGAGGTTACAAAATCAGGCAGAACAGCAGCTGCAGTGGATTTGGAGGAGTTCTGTGCTGCTGGGGTGAACTATGGCCTGCTAAACTCGCTAATGATGACAAGAGGATTGTAAAACGTAAGGGAAGTCTCATCCCAAAGGCTTCGCAGTGCTGTTTGTCAAATCTTCAGTCCTAAGCCACGCTCACATTTGAATAGAAGGGCACTTATAGATGGCCCCAAATCTGTCCTTGGCAGTCCACGCTGCGGGGGGGCTGCAGGAGGGGAACAGATGGGCAGGGGGGCTTCATGGGGAGGTGACTGTCGTGGTGGGGGCCGCAGGAAGCTGGAGCTGCTTTCCTTCTCCTCCCAGTACATGGCCTTCTTCGAGTTCAACAACCGCCTGGAGGCCATCCTGACCAAGGCATACATCTACAGGTGAGGGGGGGGAATCAAGGGAAGGAGGGAGTGTGGAGTTGCTGTTTGTCACTGGGGAGGAAGGTTCACTTTGGTGGGTACCCGTTCTGGGCTCCTGGTTTATTTTTCACTGTCCCCGGGCTGGCTGACATGGACGTTGGCTGATGCAGCAGAATGCTGAGCTCCTAGAGCCCATGTGGGTGGGATCACCTCTCCCACGGCTTTTTCTGGCACTTCTGGAGCTGCAGGAGGGAGCAGCAGGGTGCATGTTTGGGTGCTCTGTGATTCCTGCAACGGCAGGGCCTCTTGCTCATCGTTTTGAGGCTCCTTGTGATGCTGGGGGGTGGTGGGGACATATTTCTCCCAGGAGACACCGTATCATCTTCCTTCCTGCTTCTCTCCTGGTTCTTTTTGCAGAGTGATCCGGACCACTGCCTACTTACTGTACAGCTTGCATGTGAACTCCTGCCTCTATTACTGGGCCTCAGCCTACGAAGGACTGGGCTCTACCACCTGGGTCTATGATGGGGAAGGAAACAGGTACAAGCCAGGGCTTGGGTCTTACATAGCACAGCCTGCTGTGATGAGCTGAAGTAATAAAGGGAGGTGTTGGGGTGCAGCTGGATTCATAAAAACCCTAAAGCAAAGGGTTGGGAATGCCAGGAGAGGATGCAGAGCATCTCCCCAGTCCTTGGCTAACAATTTGCTCGCAAACCCTTGTTATCCCCTGATGATTTCTGAAAGTGTAAATGTTGCTGAAAACACATTGCTGATTTATGGCAGTGGAGCTGTAAGGAGCAGAAAATGGGAGCAGCCAGAGCAGCTGAGCCTCCCACATGGAGGTTTCTGGAGGATCCATAGGTCCCCAGAAACCCCTTTAGAGCTGCCTCCCCTTTTCCTCCCAGCTACATCCGCTGCTACTACTGGGCAGTCAAGACCCTCATCACCATCGGGGGCCTGCCAGACCCCAAGACACTGTTTGAGATTGTCTTCCAGCTGCTGAACTACTTCACAGGCGTCTTTGCTTTCTCTGTCATGATAGGGCAGGTGAGTGGGAGTCGTGGGGGGTTCCCAGCCTCGGGCGGGGATGGTTGCAGAGTGGTCGATCCGCGGGTTTGCGTCCTCAGGTTTGTTTTCCCTGCTTGGCATTAGTGCAAGACAAAAAGTACTTGCCAGATGCTGTTAGGGCTCGGTTTACACACTCTAGACTGCTTGAGTGATGGATAAAGTGAAAGCAACTAAACCTTTTCTTCCACCTCTTCCTTTCAGATGAGAGACGTGGTTGGCGCCGCTACCGCAGGGCAGACTTACTACCGGAGCTGCATGGACAGCACCATTAAATACATGAACTTCTACAAAATCCCCAAAACTGTTCAGAACCGGGTGAAAACGTGGTATGAGTACACGTGGCACTCGCAGGGCATGCTAGGTGAGATCCAGCCATTCCAAGGGCTGTGTTTTACTTGTGGTTGTTTTGCAGAGCTGAAATGTTAGTGTCAAAACAGCACTGGAGTTTTGGGGTGTAGGGTGACTTATTTTGCTCTTCGATATTGGGTCACAGCACTTTGGTGACCTGGCAGTGACTGGCAATCGTTGGCTAGAGTGTGTCCAGCAGCAAAGCCACCAGTTCACCGTACCAGGCAGGGCCAGGACCCCTGTGCCCACCCTCCTGGGCAAGAAAGATGATGGCTTGGGCTCAGTGATGTGTCTCTGAGAGCCATCAGGGAAGGGATAACTTGAAGGGTGGTTCTCTATCACCCCTTGGATTTAGACCTGCAGGTTGCTGGGTGGGCAGAGGCTGAGGAGGCCCTTCTGGGAGAGCCGGCTCCTGCCCTCTGCCACCGGCATGTGAGTTGCTTCCCTACTGCCACGTCAAGGACATGCTCTCATATCAAGAGCTCGAAACAGCCAGTTTTCTGCTTTGTCTCCCAGATGAGTCAGAGCTGCTGGTGCAGCTGCCAGACAAGATGAGGCTGGACATCGCCATCGACGTGAACTACAACATCGTGAGCAAAGTGGCCCTTTTCCAGGTATCCTCTGCAGCACAGGTGCTGTCTGGCAGAGCCTGCCATGCTGGCACACACTTACACCACTGCTGGCTCTATTTTGGCTCAGGGTTGTGACAGGCAGATGATCTTTGACATGCTGAAGCGGCTCAGATCGGTGGTCTACCTGCCTAATGACTACGTGTGCAAGAAGGTAACGTGATATGTGATGCCTGGGTGCCCTCCCATCCCCGGTGTTATGGCCAGGCTGTGCAGGCCACTAGGAGAAAGCCAGGCCTGGCCCATCACCAGCCACTTCACAGGGAGGGAATCTGGAGCAAAAACATCCTTGGTTGCAGCTGGTCTCGTACAAAGACCAACCTCTTCTGCCGCAGCCACGAACAGCGGGAGACCAGGGAAGAGCCTGTCAAGCTGCAGGAGACTTTGGGGTGCTTAGGTGGTGCTTAGGAGTAAACACCATCCAGACAAAGAATTTTGGGAGCTTGGAGAGGGCAGTAAGGTCATGGGAGGGTCCCTCTTCCCTGCAGGGAGAAATAGGCCGCGAGATGTACATCATCCAGGCGGGACAAGTGCAGGTGCTGGGGGGACCCGACGGCAAATCCGTGCTGGTGACTCTGAAAGCTGGATCTGTGTTTGGAGAAATAAGGTGAGTGAAGCGTTTTCTGGGGACCAGGGAAATACAGCTCGTGGGCTCTGGGAGAGGAAGGTGGGAAGTGGAAGGATCAGCAGCAACCCAGTTATCTTTGTGACTGAGAGCCGTGAATGCTGGGCAGCGGCTGAGACACGGGTTACAGGGTTTTTTTTTCTTGGAGGTTTTCTGCTGTTCTTGTCATCGTGTTGTTTTTGGCCTGGGGAGGGGGTGATGGTAAGCAGAGGTATCTGGATGGAGGGGTGAGAATATGAGTAAGAAAAGATGTTTCACAAAAACAGGCCCACAACCATTAATCCGCCCATTTCGTGGGCGCGTAATGTCCTGTACCAGTCTGTAACACAGGGATACTGCTGCCTCCCTACAGCCCAGCAGCAACTAGACTGGTGTAAACTGCAATATTTAACCCTTCAAACCCCCAAATAATTTTTTTATGTACAGTGCTGCATGCAAATTTTCTTCAAAAATTAAATATGGAAAATTCCATCAGGGGTGAAAATTAAATTCTGAGTCCTCTGAAAGAGAGAGATGGAGACATGTAAAATAGGAGACCTGAAGAAGTAGTGCTGAGCCTGTGAACAGAAGCACTGATGTTTTGCTGTGCCCCTCTCAGCTTGCTGGCGGCAGGAGGGGGAAATCGCCGAACAGCGAACGTCGTAGCTCACGGCTTCGCCAACCTTTTCATTTTGGAGAAGAAGGACTTGAACGAGATCTTGGTGCACTATCCGGAGTCCCAGAAGCTGCTGCGTAAGAAGGCCAAGTGCGTGGGATTTTAAAATTAGCAGAGCCTGGGTATCAGAATCTCAGGGGGAGATTTCCCTCTGTGTGAAGCCCCGGGAAAGCTCCTGCTGCAGGTGCTGGGTTCTCGCTCCCAGAGGCGCATCCCGCTCCGGGCTGGATCTGCTGTGCCTCGGCAGAGGGCACCCGTCCCTCGTCGCTGGGCTGGGGAGGCTGGGTCTGCCCCTGCCCTGCCATCAACCCTCTCCACTAAAAAGTGGGTGGAGCTGGGGAACGGACGTGGCCAGAGTGCCTTCGTTTAAAAATCTATTGAAGTATTTAGTTTTTAGCATTACTTAGAATTGTTATTCCGTCCTTCCTAAGGCATAACAAATCCCTGCCCTTTTAAAACCCGTTTTTTTCCTCGCTATAAAATCCAGCTAATAGAACGTGTGCCCGGACTGACATCACCTCTCCTCTTCCTTGCTGCAGGAAGATGCTGAAGAACAACAACAAGCCCAAAGAGGAGAGAGGAGGCCCTGGAGAGTCGCTGATCATTCCCCCAAAACCTGAGACCCCAAAGCTCTTCAAGGCTGCCCTGGCTGCCACGGGGAGGACGGGGGGCAAAGGGCCACTGGCACAGCTGCGCTGGAGGCTGAAGGAGCTGAAGGCGATGCAGGCAGCCCAGGTCAGCACGGGAAGGATGGAAGTTTAGCTTTGCTTTGTTAGATGCTGAGTCTCTGCTCCCCCCTCCACGGGCTTCAGACTCGTTAAGGTGCCTTGAAGAAGTGAGCTCAGGCCATGGGGGTCTGACATAGCGTGGGCAGATGGGAAAGGGGTGACCCAACATCTCCAACAGGGCCTTGGGAGAACTCCAGTGTCCCACAGGGGTGTGTTTTGCAACACGAAAGGGTAGTACACTGACTTTTTGCCTAGCTCTGCTAAGCTTGAGTGTAATTTCTAGCTGGGCTATAGCCACAGATGAACAAATGTCTCTCCCATCCTGCAGAGACAGAGCCTCTCGTAATTAATTGCTGTGCTGGTGGGACAGAGGGCAGTGCTGGCACCGAGCACCCACAGCCCAGTCAATATATCAAAGCTTTGTGGTGCAGCTGGGGCAGAGGCCCCCACTGCTGTCCTGCTAGATCTGCATGAAACCCCCTGCTTTTTTTTTTTTCTTTTTTTCTTCTAGCTGTCTCAGCTAAACTTGAAAACAAAGTTTTGTCTCGTTGTTGCTCTTCCCAGCACGGAACCAGGCAGACTATCACATCGGGACACGTAGAGGGAGGTAGAAGAGTAGCTGATAGGGAGGGGTGGCCTTGAGGCTTGGGTAAACACCCAGGGAGATGCCAGGCATAGCTGCATTTCTTCAGGCCCTCGCAGAGGCACAACAGAGGAGGCTTCACACAATGTGGTGTGGAACACTAATTCATAACCAGTTCATGGCAGTGGTGAACAGAGGCACTGAGGGCTCCATGGGGTAGTGGCAGCAAGACCTGTCACTGAAGGGTGCACGTTTTGGGAACTAACCCCACTGATGGGTTAGCAGGATCCCACTGCTGGAAAGACATCCCTCCCCGTAACATGTCCTGAGGATGGTCTGGGGCTGCTCCCTCACAGCACCGCTTCTGCCACGTTTAGCCCACATCAGCCCCTCCAGATGCTTCAGGAGCAAAATAAGAGCTAGAGCAGGAGGTGTGAGAAAGCTCTGTTGCGCTCCTCTCTGTGTTTTCAAGACATGCAGGATATAATCCAGCTGCCCCTCTTGCAGGGGGCAACTCTGGCATCAAACTGACATCCCAATGCATGTGGTGGAACCACAGAACAGCCTGCCTGGTTTTGCACAGTGCAGACACAGTGTTGGGGGTACTGGGCAAGCGTCTGCTAATGTTGATTTCACCTTTTTTATTTGTTTTTATAGCAGGGTTCCAGTTTCTGTCCAAAATCCCCAGTGCACCAGAGATCGCCTGTCGCCTCCCGCAAAGAAAAAACCCGCCTGGAAGAAATATCCTCAGAGTCCTCTGATCATTTAGTCACTGTTCGTGTGATTCCCACGGCACAGGAAGATGAGGAAATCTTGGCTGCTGAGATTTCAGAGAAGGAAGACAAAGAAGAAGGAGAGAAATGAAACAGCAGCACGTCCCGGGGCAGGCGTAGGAGTCAGGCAAATGCCTGGGGTAGCAGATTTTTGTCGTTAATGATTTCCCTGCAGTGGCTGTAGGCTTTGCAATGTGCTGCAGGTAGGATCTGCCTCTCTTTTCTGTCCAGACCCTCACTCACTGCTGATAAAACCCTCTGCCATTTGACCCGGAACCATACAAAGCTTCCATCCTCTGCAGATCAATTTTTACTGAGCACTTTTATGAATTTCCCACTAAATCTCGGGCCAGCCCTCTTGCTTTGACATCCAGCTTTACGGAGGGAGAGCTCTGGAAGAAATGGCTTTTTATGGCTCTGGATGGTTAATGAGTGTTGGGATAAAGCGTGAAGAGTTATTCACCTCTGACAGCTGAGTCACCGCTTGGCCAGAAACAACCAGGAGGGGAAAAAAATAACAAGGTTTCTCTGCTGGGCTCAAGGTTGACAGCGGCAGTGGAGAGTGATTCATCCAAAAGGGATGTGGACTATGCTCACAAGCCGAGCATGGAGCAAATCACACTGTCACAAGAATGCCAAGGTCTGTCCCTGAGTGCATAATCTGCAAGGTACTTAAAGGTCTCTGCATGGTGCCAAGGCCACCTTGGATTTGCCACCGGGAAGAGTTCCTGCCACCAATCCACCCCGGGAAGGTGGGGGAGTCTCCATCGCTGCAGGCTCTTGTGGAGAGGTTTGATGAGCATCTTTCAGGGATGGAGAAGCACAATCCTGGATGCTCCTGGAGTTCATTTCTAACCCTGGGTTTCCTTGGGTGCTGGTGCTGGGAGAGAGAAACAGAGAGCAGGAAGGGAGAAGCTGAGCTGGTTCCCAGCTGGGAGGGGAAAGAGAAGTGCAGTGAGTGCTCTCCTCTCCCAGACAGTGTTTCAGAGTCAGCTCACAGTCTGTACCACACAAGCAACTCTGCACAAGCATGCAGGTGCTCCCCTGCAGTCATTGCTGGACCTCGGTGGCATCCACTTTTCCAGCAGCTGATTTCCAGCCCTTCAGTCACTTGACTCGCTCTTGGCCACATATCCCATGCAGAAGCCACCCTGGTATTGCTCATCGCTGCAACAGGGCACTTGTGAAGGCACTCTCCCCGTGCTGTGACTGGGCACTGGAAGGGAAGGTGAACATCTGATTAGCAGCCAGCACACCCAGCTGATGGCCCAAGGTGTCTGATCTTCTCCCAGCACCACCAGGTCCTCATCTTCCTCAGGCCCAGCACCACCCAGAGCCAGCTGCTGGTGAGCTGAGAGGTGGTGAGAGGTGGTGGGTGGGATGGCACCACATGAGGCTCTGCAGATCCTCCCCAAGGTTCTTGCTCACCACATCCCCCCAGCACCTCTGGCCCCATCGACAGCAGCCAGTTTCCATCCTCTGGAGGAAAAGCTGGGGCAGGTTTTGCTGCAGGGAGCAGCCCCATCTCCACAGCCAAGGGGCTTCTCAGGTGCTCAGCAAATCCTGTGAGCAGTGCTGCAGGTTCCACAGGTCTGGCTGTGAGACAGCCGGGCTGTTTGCGAAGGGTGTCAGCCCTGGCATCACCCCCCCCCCCCCCCAGGTGATCCCTCTTCCCATCAGCAACCTGGGGCTGATCTTCACCTCCTTTAGGATCTTCTTTCGTTCCTTTTTTCCCCCCCTCTCTTGCAAAATAGACGGGTTTCTGTGGCAGAAAAAGCCAGAATAGATGTTAGCAGTAATTAACAATGGCTTGCTTTCTTTAAAACAAATTTAATGAGCCCCAGTGTACTGCAGGAGGGTCTGAAACCACCACTGCCCTTCACATTGCAGGGGAGAGGCTGCACTCACCCAAACCTCCCTGAATATTTCTCGTCCTCAGTCTATTTGCAAGTGCTTTCCCGCTGGGGAGGTTTCCATGCAGAGTGCAAAGTATTTTCTTCTCACTCCATAAACATTTATATAATCAAACCAGGAAACGTGCAGAAGTCAAACTGGGGCTCTGATTTGCTGCTGTGGTTTGATACAGTTTAGAAAAAGCATTTAAATAAATAGTGGAGTGTAATGGCTTTCATAATTCACTGTATCTACAATAAACACCATGTAGATTACTCTTCATTTGCTGTGGATTTATTCCAACACTCCAGTTGTTTTCCAACTTTTTGCTCACTGATGCACCAACAGAGCCAGAAAATCCTGGTTCCATGCAGTTCACAGATTTTCCCAATAATTAATTTAAAGGTCACACAATAGTGGTGGGAGAATTGTAATTTTTATTTTAATCACCAGGAGGGGAGGGGAAATATCCTTCTTAAATGGCAAATATTGCCTGAAGACCTTTGTTTTCAAAACGCAGCATGAGATGGTGATGGATACACAACTGGTAATTCTGGAACCACGAGGACATCTGAAATTATCCTGCTCTGCGGTCTGTTTACGGCTTTAGTTCTTTGGAGGGATTATTCTCCAGGTAATAATTAAGGTCAAGGTAGGGCTGGGCTTACGGGCTGGGCTGGGGAGTTGAGCTCAGGTCTGTTTGCTGTGCAGGACTATTTAGAGGTGACTTTAGTGCCCCTTGATTTGGGGATTGCCACGAGCTGGCTTTCTGCTTAATTTTGTAGCTCCATTCATTTACCAGTTTTGCTGTATTTGCAACGGGATTCTCTGCCTTTGTTCCAATAAGTATCTTGCAGTGGGCACTTATCACTTTGTGTTCCCTACAACTGCCCTTGGAACGCTCCTGTTGGATTTGGTAACGCTCCATGTACCTTTACTGCATTCCTTATTAGCTTTTGCTCCTTCCACTTGATGTCCCCAAGTCTTGGGTCTATCTGATATGAGATCCTCTAAGAATATGAATGCAGTACTTGAGGGATCTTGCCAGGCAGCTGCTTATTGCCATAGAAACCAGGTTTTCTTGCAGTGATATTTTAGCTGTTGCTGCTTTTTAGTGAAATAAGTGGAATAGAGGACTGCTGGAGGAGGAAACAGAGCTTACTGTTGGAGCTGAAGGAATGTGGTGGCTTTTGCCTCACAAGCAGCATCTTTACTGGAGGCTTTATATATACTGTTTACATATATGAAAGTATCAATATGAATACATATATACTTTTTATATTCATATTCCCTGTGACCTGTGCTGTTATGTCCTTCAGAGAACTGATACTGATCTGATGCTCTGTATGAAGTTAAAGAAGACAAATGTCTCCCATTAAAAAAATCAGCTCACAGAAGGAACATTATAACCCACACAGGCATCTGATGGTGGAGGAGGTTGCTTTCCTCTGGATAGAAACAGGGCAGGTAGCTTCTCTGTATTTATAGCCAGAGCAATCTTTTAAAAAGATTAAGTGCAGGTTAATCACTGATAAGGTTGTAACGAAAGTAAAAGCAAATAAGCAGGTTTGAGGATTAGACTCGGGTCCAGAAAGAAATTTCAGGATAAATGGAAAGCCCATTTAAATGGTGTTCAATTAGAAAGCCTGAAATAAAATTAAGCACTTTAACTTTGAAGCCTGCAGACCTTAACCAGCAGGACACAGTCCTGGTTCAGGGAACAGTCTGCAACCCACCTTTTCTGCCTATATATATTTTTTTTTTACTTTGTGTAGCTCTGCTTTGAGTCGTGGTTGCATATAACTCCCCCCAAATCCCTTTTACCTGCCTCTAAAATGGAGTTAACACAAGTCTGATTTTCTCTGTCCCCTTTTAAGTGCAGAAATGGTCTCTCTGGAGTTAACATCCTGAAAAACAGCCAGACCACCATTTGGGAAGGGCTCACACAGAGCTTCACAAGCCCACAGATGCCCATGCCAGCGTTTATTAACAGCAGTTTAGGCTGAGCTCAGGCTGGATGACCTTTTTCCTTTTCTCATTCTTTCCTCATTTACCCATTCTTATTTTGAGATGAAACTCGCCCACTTTGGTTCATGCCATAGGGTGAATGTTCTTAGGGAGACCTGCCCAGTATCAGTGAGTTGGGTGTGAGTTCATCTGAAGAAGAGAAGCCTGGAAAGCTACATTATTTCATGCAGTTTTTCCTGCTTTTAGAAGTCACTTAAAAGAGCTGGAAGTCAAACAGTTAAAGTCTCAAACTTCTTTCTTGGACAAACTGGAAGGAATTTGAGAAGAAATGTAAACAACTGGAGAAGTGAGATAAATCAGGTCGTGGGGACTGATGTCATGGGGTGGCCAGGGAACACCCCTGCCAGCTCTGGGCTGTCACACCAGCATTGCCCTAAAGTGCTTCCCAGGGCTTGCAGGTGCTCACTTTGAAAACTTGAGCTTGCCGAAACAGCCGCTGCTCCCTTCCCAGCTCTGTCTGTCGGAAGAGGTGGGGAGGAGGGCTCTGGGGAGGAGGGCTCTGCCTCCTCACAGCTTGATCGCTGCCCTGGGAGCATCTGCGGGCCTTCTGGAGCCTCTCATCCCTCCTCCTCGTGGATGGTCCGGATTCACCCCAGGACGAGCATCACGTGGATGGTCCGAATTGGCCCCAGGGTGGGCATCACATGAGCCGCCCCGTGCCGTTCTGTCTTAGCGAGAACCGAAGGAATGAAGACCAGCCAGACTAGTTACTCATTCTAGATAAGAGGCTCTTTTGTGCTGCAGAAATACCAGCATCACGTGAAAACCCCTCCGCTGCCATGGTTACTGGCCGCCGTCAGAGCCGCCAGCGAGACGGGACTCCAGGCATTGGCAGGGCTTCTGGTCTCCCCTTCACAGCGGAGAACTCCAGCTATAAAACCCACCCTCTGCCCCAAAAAGGAGGGGAGACAGCTGGGCCCTGCCCACACCCGGCATCGCGATGCTCAGAGCTTGTTGCATACAGGCTCTGCCCTGCCACTGGGCATTTGGCTCTGGGTTTTATAAATTCCTCACTAATAACCTGAGGTATTATTTAAAAAGTGAGAAAATGGTGCTGCCTCCTGGGTGGGCTCTGCCCTGTTTCCTGGTTTTCTGGCATTTAGGAACAGCTTGACCTCTTGGCACTCTCGCTTTTTTGCACTAATGCTTTTCTCATTAAAGTGCTTTCCTGAACACTAATTAGGGCGGTTTTCCTTTTGTAAATTAGCCCGATACGATCTGTGTGTCTTGGCAGACACCCTCGGAGCAGGAACCCAGGGCTTTGCGTTTGATCGCTGTTTATTTTGCAAATCTCCCCAGTTTCACTGCTCTTAACTGCCTTCTAGAAAGTGCTGGCAGGTGGAGATTAATGGGAGGGAAATGGGGCTTTCCAGCTGGCCTGCCTTGAGAAACAGAAGAGTTTTTGGTGCTACAGGGCCCTTCCAACTTCTGTGGGTTGATGGGGTGGTGTGGGCACACGAACTCCTTCCCATCCCATCTCGCCTGGCGTGCGGTGGAGAAGCAGGTCTGCAAGCAAAGGCACTGCCTGAACCAACCTTCTGAGAGGTGATAGAATAAAATATCTGATTAACACGCTCATTCTGTGCAATTAAAGCACTTCTTTTGACTGTAGCAAATGCTCAGACCCGAGCAACCCATCTAAGCCTGGATGTCTGCAGAGGGAGGGAAGTCCACCTGTCTGCCACTGCCCCTAAATCAGTGGTGTCAGCAATTTGCTGGGGACCAATGGTGCTCAGGAGGGGATGGGCGTTAATCAGCTCTCATTTTCCTAATGCACTGGCAGATGGGAGTGGAGGGGACGGTGCTTTCTCTCTCTCTGGTCACGGATGGGACAGAACCACGAGAGGTTTACATGGGCTGAGAAATTCGGCAGTGAAGGAGACACTGGGGGCAGGAAGCCACCCTGTTTGCTCGCTGGGAAGGCTGGCAGTGAGGGAAGCATCCCTGGGGGATCCTGTGACCCTGGCTCTGCTTCAGCACTGGGACCCTTCTGGTACCAGGCACCATCACGGACCACCTTTACAACAGCATTTACTGCCCCTTAATAAGGGAAGAGAAGAATTGCAGGGCCTTCACCCTGAGACTGCGACGGAGTCACAAAGCCCTTGATGAAAAGGCAACAGTTTTCCAGTGCCAGCGTGCCAGGAGTGTGGCACCAAGAGTGGAAAAGTGTGGTGAAGCATCCCACCCCAGGGAGCTGCTGCTGCCAGCACAGCCGCACCACCCCGGCCGGCTCCCGGCGCCCTAGGGAGGCTGGAGGGGAGTTCCCACGGACCCTCTCTGGAGCTCAGCATCCCTTCCCTGAGCCATGCACACGCTGTGGGTGCTGGCAGGGCTGTCAGTGCAGGGCTGGAGCAAGAGGAGCAGCAAGAGGAGCGGGGTGCAGGCCGTGGAGAGCATCCCTGCCCGCGGCGAGGACGGCGAGCGGCGCAGCCTCCAGGGGTGTTCGTGCCGACCTGTGGGCATGGTGTGGAGACTGGCCTGTGGAGGAGGAGGCTTCCAAAAAACGCACCCAGGACCAGGGCTGGCCTGGATGGGCCCACAGGTGAGAGCAGTGGCAGGGGCTGGGGGGTGAGCAGGGCATGGTCTGTTCCAGCAGCAAAGGCTGGGGATGGAAACCAGCAAAATTGCCTCTGTGTTGGAGTCGTGTTCACAAAACATGCCCAGGTGTTTGCACACGGGTGCTCTGTGGTTATTTTGCTGTTGTTTCCCAAGGGGTTAATTCAGCAGCACTTTTTGTCTGGTGGGCTGAAGGTGAAGATAACTGAACAGAGATGTCTGAGCCCCAGAGAGCCCCGGTCCCACCTCACCTGGGCATGCTGGCCATGCCTCAGTTCCATCTTGCCTGGGATGTTGAGCACCCCAGCCATGCCTTGGTCCCACCTTGACTACCATTTCCTTCTCCATCTCATCCTTATTGTTTCACCTGACACCTCTCTTGGATCTGCAAACAGATGCGAAAGCAAAGCCCATGAAGGTTTACATGAAGTTCCCAGCAAGCTGGCAGTTATTCCACGTCAGTCTGCATAAACCCTTATGATTGTTCCTCCTGCCTGTGCTGCCAGCTTTTCCTTAATGTCTCCTTGTTTTTCCAGTTGTGAGTGATTGCTGAAGGGATCTCCCGGCAGAGAGGACTCGGGTTCACCCTTCACATCCCTTTCACCTCTAAGGCACTTGCATGAAAATACGGGTGTGGGTCTGCTCCTCTCCATAAAGAGAAATTAAATCTGCTCACGCGGCGCCGGGTG